TCAAGGAGTGCACGCACACCAACATAATTTTAAACTGATTGGATGTATAGGATGCAGCCTTGGAGGTTCCTTATTGGTGGGTGCTATTCTCAGGGCTGTGGAATGTGCTGACTGTTACCTGTGGGGCTAGGAGTCTCCGTTTTTACCTTATAGGGCAGTTTTCATGCCCAGGCTTGCTTAATCTATAGTTTCCTGGAAGTGGGGTGGGGAATAGCAGGCAGGAGTCAGGGCATGTCTAGGCATGTCTAAAGCAGCAGCCAAGCATTTTACAGAAGCTAAAAGAGCAATTAGTCGGGGTCTGGAGGGAGTGGGGGTAGCGGGTGAATGAAGAGGGTCTCAGGGTTCTACACCCACCACAGCCACCATAGTCCCCACTAGCATTCGCTCATGCCTCAGGGGCCAGCGATCTCGCCCCAAGTCCATAAGAGTCAGTCCATTCTGTCTTTGAGCGACTGCAGCTGGCTATGCGTTCCCCACACCATGCACACTACCCATAGCTCCCCAGCTTCTGTCACAAGATGGCTCCTAGCAGCCCCTCCATAGTCCATGCTCTGCGCCAGGCCCTGCCCATTGGAGGAACTAGCCAATCGGGAGACATTCCACCCCTTTCCTCCACTCATACAATCTTCCCATTCATCTTCTGCTAAAGTCCCTGAGGCTTGGAGGGGGTGATAGATGTAGGGCGATCTCTCTTGGTGGCTTTTGGGGCCTCCCCATTAATTGTCTTTAGGCTATGGCCACTGGTGTTTCTTCTACTATAAAGACAAATGGAAGGAAGTAGACATATTTAAGCAAACATGAATGTAAATACAAATGCCTAGAAGATATCCCAGTAGGTGTACTAAACTCATTAAACAATATACTCATGATGGCTTCTCCACCAGGACCTGTTGGCCTGGTCTACAGCATCAGATGTGTGTTTCACCCCTAGGAGCACACCTTATCTAACTAGAAATTTGTCAGTTGTACGTGTGTTGGTCAAGGCATTATTACACTTGCAGGTATTGCTTGGCATATCTATAGTGTGCAGCATGCGGGGTCCATCATTGAGTAGAATTATAGGGGATTCTTTCTTCCCCAACCACCTGCATCAACATGAACATCATCCATCCAGTGGCACAGAGTTTTTTGGCTTAGTCTCAGTTCCATCTCTTCTTCTCCCATGCTCACAACATGCAGTGTCCTCAGCAACATGGCCTTACCAACATTTCCAGTGTACAACCGACATTAATGGCAATAGCCTTGGTGAATTGGAGGACCTCAAGGATCTCTCTCTGACCAATAGCTCAAAGGAGGCAACCCACCCCTGGTACTGTAGATTTTCTTAACAGTGGTATAGTTTGGGAGTCTCTATCCTCATCTTACCCTACCTACATAAAACTCCCAAGAATCTTGCAGCTATAGCTGGCCTCTGTTTCTTCACGTATCTTTCAAATGGGTTTCACATCTGTAAAACACTTGAAGGAACATTAACATTATATATTAAATCAATCATAGACAAGGTCTCACACAGCATGGAAAGGTTTTGTCCATTCGTATTAACTGTTTTCTCCATAGATCCTTGTTAGGTACCATAGCATGTGTATGAGGCATTGATTTGGTTAATACACTTGCAGGTGTTGGCTCCAGTTGCCTGACCCTGCACTGGGCTAAGGAGGCAGAGGGCTTCTCCTGTCCCCGCTGCACTTGTTGGTTCCCTGAGTCAGAGGTTCTGTGTCTGCCTCCTGACTGTAGCCACATCTGTCCTCTTCCCATTGACCACACCAGGTTGCTGGGGGAGAACTTGGTGGGAAAACCTGCTTCCAACCCTAGTATAGCTTTATCAGAAGAGAAATGCATCTCATTTAATCCTTGGGGATTCTTAACCACCCCTTGTACAGTTGATATCCTTCAAATGTCCTTTGTAAACCGTTCTTCTGGTTTTAAACCCTTCCAGAAATGCCTTAGTACCAAATTTGGTTTTCTAT